ACATAATTCTACAAAAATTTTATTTTATTATTAAAATTAATGAATATATATATATACAAATCAATGTGACGAAACTGTAAAACTCGCTGACTTACCTCGGTTAATTTCTTAAATATTTTACAATCCTTTTGTTGCTTGATTGATACCGTCGGCAAGTAGGAATCAAATTCGTTTCACTTTATTTACCAATCGTTGTTGCATTTTTTTAAGCCATACGAATGAACAAAACACATAGAAATGTAGATCGCATCGATGCGTTGAAACTGTGACTGTTCGTTCACACGGTAACGTACGGGCATCGCGTCAGCAGTGATTTTTGTGCATCCGAATTTTGCGCGTGAATGTTTTAAACGCACAGACACTGGCTATCTTGTTTACAATGGTTGGAGAGAAAAAGAGAAAGGGAGAGAGAGAGAGAGAGAGAGGGAGAGAGAATGATAGAGGAGAGGAGAGGAGAGGACGGGATTTAATCAAGCTGCACAGCAAGGAGAGCGTGACACGAAATGCGCGAAAGGACGGCACCCAGAGTTTCGTTATTTTCCCCTCGTCCAACGTTTCGTTGACAGAGCTTTGAATTCTATTAAATTTATATTTTCGAAGCGACGGCCGTCAACGCACGTCGATCGACGAGTTTGGCTCGCACGCGAGTACAAATTTTCTTCTCTTGTCTTTTTTTCCTTTATTTTATTTTTTTATTATTTTTTTCTTTTTTTCTTTTTTTTTCCCCGACCACCCAGCAAATAATCGAGACGTCGTAAATTTCGAAAGACGAAATTTTCTCTGTCTGTCTCTCTCTTTTTCTTTCTCTCTCTCTCTCTCTCTCTCTCTCTCTCTCTCTCTCTTTCTTTCTTTATATTTCTCTTTCTCTCTTTATCATAAAACGGTTCACATTGTAGAAGCGTTTTTACTTAAAATACGCCATTTCATTTTTATTCCAGCTGGTGCTCCCACCTGTGCAGACAGATACGCAATCCCGATATATTTCTTCGATATATCGGAGATGATACCGCCCGCTCGCGCTTTTTAATTTTACCTGTGATATAGAATTGTTTGTTTCGATTCTGGATGAGAAGCACGCCCTCGGAATAAAATCAAATCGAATGAAACGAACGAAAGGGCGTGAGAGAGAAAAAGAGAGAGAGAGAAAGAGAGAGAAAGAGAGAGAAAGAGAGAGAGAGAGAGAATGAGAAAGTGATGGTGATTGCGATGCCGATGTTTCAATGGGATTGGAAAAACACAAGGATAGATGTTGCAAGTGTACTTTCAATAATTCATTAGCCACTTGTTTCGTTAGTTTGTCTCGCGGCAAAATCGTGCGGTCCGCTCTCAAGAAAGTGCTTTAATTTCCTTCGGCCGACTTGTTACCGGCTTAAAACTTGGCCAAGTTGCTTCTCTCTACTAGTTAGCTCGGACGACGCGTTTTACGGAAATACGAGAGAAAGAGAAAGAGAGAAAGAGAGAGAGAGAGAGAGAGAGAGAGGAAAAGAGAGAAAGAGTAAGTAAAAGGAATGCACAAAACGTATTGCAATAAAGGATTCCAGTTTAGTGAAACATTTCGATTTCAACGTTGGAAAAAGTTTCTTTTCCTAATTAATGGTACACGTTTGAACGTTCTTGTATAAGAATGTGGTATTAAATATGTCGACTTTATGACGATTGAAAGTTGTTGGTAGGGTTGTAAGGAAGAATTGAGAAAGATAGAGTTTATAGAATGGTTGGCTATCGGAAAGTATAAATATAGTGAGTAAAGTAATAAGAAACGTCTCGGTAACGTGGAAAAGAAGCTTAAATGTCTTCCATTCGAAGTTTAAACTTTCGCGCGACTCAGATCCGATTTTCAGACTGGAGCATTATCGATCTGCATTCGACAACCGTTGAATACTTAACGTAGGACCGTCTTAGAAGTCTCTCTTTCCTATTCGCTAACCGAACGTCGAAGTTCGATTCGGGAAACGATTTAAGTCGATCGCACGATCTCTTTCGAGTATTTTCGTTACTACAATGTGTAACGGATATTCAAATTTCCGTAGTTCGAACAACTATAACCAAACGCAAATCCACTGAATTTCCCGTTTGCCATAAGCGTCAAATTAAGGAAGATAAAGATCTAGTAAATCGTAGAAATATACAATGTGTCAGTTGAGTTCTAGGTGATTCGTAGATATATATATATATATATATATATATATATATATATATATGTGTAAGAATGAGTACGCAGGTCATAGGGTAACATTAGCTGGGTAGAGAAGACTGGGATACAGGAAATGCTGCAGGCTCGAGCGTATAATCAGCATCAGAAGCTCGTGGATTCTCTACTCGGTGACGGAAGGTGAGCGAATTGCACGCAAACTGTGCGACTATACTCTATATAACTCGAGTTGTCTACACATATATACCTATATCTACTACTGATCTACGTATAAGTACATAGATATAGTTACGTGCACGTATCTACATAAACGCGAGTTTGCCAGGCCGAAATTTGCCCTGGACATTTCAGTCCCTTCAAAGTGACTAAGCTCGCGAATCAGTCCAGCCACGTTCCATCCACTATGTAACGTTTCTCGTATCTCTCTCTCTCTCTCTCTCTATATATATATATATATATATATATATATATGTATATATATGTATATATATTTCTATCTATTTCTCTCTTTCTCTCTGTCTTCCTAGATAGAAATGATCTTCCTTAGTTGAACAATGCGAGACATCTGCCTTCTGTCGTTTCACAATAAAATACATTTCAATTCCGACGTTGCTTGATTTAAAATACACAAGACCAGAGCATTCCTATTTTAAAACTCGAGCTTGAGATAGTTCTCTTCCTATTGTATTTTCTTTTCTTCTATCGACTAAACAAAACGTACAAGGATTCATTTCTATCGTTTCATACTTGACCAGTCAAAATTTTTCTTCCCCTTGTACTCACGTAACAGTTGTTCATTAAAGAATGATACGATCCATTTGGTGGTATTGCACGCTCGTGACCTAAGCAAGCATGCCTCATATGGAATTTATTAGAATTAGAAATCTGATGCTCCACGTGCGGCTCAACGTGGTTTATTAACATTAACGGCCGTAGGAGACGCGAGCCATTTGTACTCGAGCCAGTGAATTACGAAGAACGTGAGAGGCTTCCGTAGACGAATTATTAGCCTCATTATCGCCTAGCCTTGCCTTGGTATCGTCATCATTAAATGGCATCGCTCTAACCACGAAAGTAATCCTTCTGAGCTATTTCCTGGTAAGCGTAACGAGCGTCGTCTTGAAAAGAATTTACTCTCTCCGTGCCATTTTTCGTTCTACCAGAAATTTTTTCTGTATTCTATTTTTTTTTCTTTCTCTTTTTTTCTTTTCTTTTTTTCCTTTTTCTCTTTTTTTTTCCTTTCTTCCATCCCTTTTATATAATGAGAATATCTTTGATGATGACTGCTTGAAGGAAAGAAGAAGAATTTTTATCGGCTTAAATATACTCAAAGTCATAGTCTTGTTTAAATAATCAGTTGGATCAGTTCGAGTTCGCGTTCATTTTCGTTGATGATTACTCTCTTTCTTTTAAAATAGGAACGAGCACGTAGGACGACGAAATCTGTGTTAACTCGCGAGGGGAAAAATTAGTGGCGCGATTCATCGAGGAAGATTATCGATACTTGATTGCGCTTAATCCGTAAAGTTTTCTCGTTTGACCTCTCTCCGTCGGCTCTTGAAAAGTCTCTTTACGTTGACGGCTCGTCCTTCACCAACTAGAACGATTTTCACTTGGATTTCCTTCAACGAAAAATGTGTTCAAGGAAGTCGCTCGCACGGATGAGAAATTTATGTCAAACGCGATTGTCGTCGACGGAATTTCTCACTAATGATGTTCTTTCCGCGCACCTCACGCTTTTCTTTCTTCGTTTCCTTTTCTTTTTTTTTTTTTTTAGTCTTTTCCTTCTCTTTCTATCCCTTCTTCCTTTCCTCTCTCCCTCTCTCTCTCTCTCTCTCTTTCTCTCTCTTTCTCTCTTTCGTATACAAGAAAAGACATTTACGCGTTTCTTTTCCAGTCGACTGAAAATATAATATATAGATATAAAAATACGTCACGTTGAATAAGAGAAATCATTGCGCTTGAAATACAGTATATCCTTTTCTCTTATCCTTTAAAAATTTTAAATGATTATAAGGTAAAATGCTATAAGTTTAATCATTCGCGTAATACGTACAACAATGAAAATTTGTAATGGGTAAAGAAATATATTAACGATCCTAAATTTAGATTAATAATAATTTCGTGGATGGGATAAAAGTGAAGTAATATTGTGAGAAAATATAGATTGACTTTAAGAATTTAATAAATTTTGTTTGATTGGATTTATTGTATGCTGCGCTTTCTCAACAAGCGCAGATAACCGATTGATTCTTCCTCCTTTCGAGATTATGCGAGCGATCGTACGTAATCCTCGATTTATCTTCAATATGCCGAGTCGTAACGAGGAGTTCTTTTTTTTCTTTTTTTTCTTTTACCGTCATTTACCGTTTTAAGTCATTTTGATAACAAAAACTTTGCGTAATATTTAATCATTCGTAAATAATTACTCGCGTAAGATATTTATCGAATCATCGTTATAACCGATAATACTATAAAACTCGTTTCGATCGCGAATTGGAATTTTGAATTGATCGATACACCTATACCATTTTGGTCTCAGTTCCTCCTGGTGTCGTGACGCATTTCATCACGTGTCACGTTTATTCATGGTGCACGCACCATGGCGCACGCACGTCATCGAAAATTGTCAGCGTTATCGATATATCGATATTACTTCGTCGTCTGTGCATTAAAGTGTGACGCAGTTTAATATATTCTTTTTTTTTTTTTCTTTTTTTTTTTCTTTTTTTTTATCTACCTTTCAACATCCGTTTTGTTCTTACCGTATCGTTATGAACAAATATTTTATATTTAATCACTTTGGAATTGTAAAATGTTTCGAGAAATAATTGTCATATTTCAAAGTTGATCGATATCACGGAGGACAGGCAGAAAAATCTCAAGTTCCCGTCGTGACTCTCTCTGTAAATGATAGGAAAGAGTGTGGCACGTGGAGAGCGAACAGGACGCATGCGTGCGGTGTTGCTCCTGCAGGACTCCGTACTATGAGTCAGTCTGCATCTGGACTCCGGTTCGCGTAGATTTTATACTACTTGTACGTGGTTACGTGATTAAGAAGACTTTATCTCGGATTTTTCATTTTTGGACGAACGACAACTATGACAATAATGACTTCCATTTTTGGTGCTTGGAACGTATTGCAGTTCATCCTTTTTATCTGTGCCATTCTTCTTATTCATTCTTCGGAAGGTAAGTGGATATTTTAAAGGAATAATTTAAGGAAAGAGAAAAGAAAAAAAAAGAAAAAAAAAAAGAGACAAACTATATAACTCGATCGATTTCTGAGGTAACGTCGTTCATATTTTCGACTCGAGTAAATTGTTTAACGCTATACGTAATACCTATACATAAATTCTCTTCAGTGAGATTCTTGTGAAATTCTTGTTAAATTCCTGTACAATTCCTAATCGTCTTGCCGTACATAATTTTGCGAACAATTTGAGAAACGTCAAGAACTTTTAAGTTTCCCTTCTCCTTTAAACCTTCGGGCAATGCCCTTTTTTTCTTTAGTAGAAAGTTCCTATATGCCAGTCGTGTTTTACAATTAACTAAATCCCGCGTAAATCATAAGCGCGATCAATAATTTACATATTAATTATTTACTGTGTTGAAATTAAAGAGAGAGAGAGAGAGAGAGAGAGAAAGAGAGAGAAAAGAGAAAAGGAAAGGTCCCTCAGGAAGAATTTTATTTTCGCGATACGACGAATGGTATAGAAAAATTTTCATGAACACGAACGTTCGAGATACTAAAAAGGTAAATCCACGATGGATATATATTCCTGTCATTAAAACAGTAATATTTCTCAACTGCAATGATCTTTAATCTTAGATCTTCGTATAGACGTAGTCGCCACACTATCCTCGTTATCCTCGAAGTGCTGGGAGAAGAAAAATTCAGGTTTCCGTCGTTAGATGCTCCGTCAATCTTCGGGATTGCCTGCGATTTCTCCTGGGAGGATGTTCCCTCGAGAGAATCACTGGCCGTTGCTAGACAAGCCACCAGCGAGTGACTTCGATAGAGAAGCTGTCGAGATGAACGAAATTTAGAAAATATTGCTTTTCGACATCTCTCTCTCTTTTTCTCTCTCTCTCTCTCTCTCTCTCTCTATCTCAATTTCATTTTCTATCTTTCTTTCGTTATTCCTCTTTCGAATATCTCACTCCTTTCGATGGACTGATAATCATTTTACTTTTTTCTATTCCGCCTGTTCGTCTATTTGACATAATTTGTTCTATATCACGATAAAGAGAGAGAGAGAGAGAGAGAGAGAGAGAGAGAGAGAGAGAGAGAGAGAAAGAGAAAAAGAAAGAGACAGAGAGAGAGAGAGAGAGATAGAGAGCTTTTCATCGAGAGCTTTTCATTGAAAGCTTTTCAAAGTGTAAAATCACTGTCCGGACAAACTTCCCGAGCTTTGGTTTCTATTTCGAGCGTAGTTGCAAAGTGTCCGTAGCAACGAAACTTGGGAAATGCTCAGTGTAACTAGATAGTGTCGTACAAGCGCCCGAGGTTCTAAGAAAACATAGAATAGGTTGACTGAGATTAGTCCTAAGAGGTAAGGAAGGGATTGGTGAGGGGTAGAGAGAGGAGCGGGACGGGGCTGAGGTAAGGTAGGTAAGAGAAAGTTACAAGCTTTCGTTTTAATGACTTTCGAATCTCTGTCTCTGTTTCTCTTATTCTTTCTTAACGCCCTTTTAGCATTGATAATCAACTAAATCTGATAAAATCAGAGAAAGAACAGAGTGCTTGTAAATTCATAAGCATCGTAAGTACTAACTTCGTCATTTGTATGACAAAAAGATGGTACCAGGAAGACTTGTGGAGGTCTCTTAAAGCTCCGTAGCTCCTGTTAAAGGAAACATAAAAAGTGTGGGAAAGGTGGAAGCCAGGGAAACGTGGGATGCCTATCGCATGACGAAGTAGTCAAAGGTAGCTTCTAACGTTGTCTCATGCACAGGTCCTGCTGCTAATTATTCGCGAGCACGCGAATGAGAGAAATACCTTTCTCTTTCTCTTTCTAGTTTTACGGTAGATAGGTAGGTAGTTAGATAGGTTGGTAGATATATTTAACACATGTTGCAAGGCACGCAATGTTATACAACTCTGAGTAATTTCCATTATGCGATGCTCCTATGTTATGCAAATAGAGAGACGCGTGTCTGTACAGATGAAACCTTATAACTTGTACGATGCTCGGACCTTTCCTCCTTCGAGGCGAAACATTCTGAATCCTTAACACTTTCTCTTCGGGCTTGTAAAATCGGTACTGTGGCTATTCTCTTCAACATTGTCGAAAATTCAGCGTTAGAAGTTGATGCCAATTAACGCTTCCAAAACCATCCGCAGCCCAGACTTACTCCAGCCTATTCCTTTATTTTGTCTCATGTAACGTGAAATCTTGATGATGAATGGTTGCAGTTCTCTCTTTCTCTCTCTCTCTCTCTCTCTCTCTCTCTCTTTTTCTTTCTTTCATTCGCTAAATCTTCATTTTATTTCGAACGAAAAACCTGGCAGGATAATCTAAAAGAAAAAGAAAAAGAAGAGAGAGAGAGAGAGAGAAGTAAGATCGGACGAAGTTTGTTGAGTTGATATTTATGTTCATTCTATATGCATAATCTATAATGTATACAAGATGAAATAAAAAAATTATGTATAAAAAAAGATGAAAAAAAAAAAGAAAAAAAATTGAAAATGAAAATGGCCATACTCTAACATCATCTCTTTGGTTATAAAATCTCGGCGTTAATTTGACTGAAATCCACTAAATCTCCGGAGTCATTTGCACAAAGTGTGCTTTCGCCTTTATGAAAACTTAACGCAATAATGCGCTGAGTAAATAGCTTTCAAAGCCACGATATTTACCACCGACGGAGTAGGTGAAACGACGCTTAACGACGAATTCAAATTTCATGAAAGCTTATCTGCGCTCCTTGATTTTATGAGCTTCCTTCCTTTTTTTTAAACCACGGAAGCCGGGCCATCCACATTTTATCGACCATTTGCAGACAGGTCTTTTTCGAATGTAATAGGTATATATGTTGGTAGAATACTTACGTATACATATATGTACAAAAGTTCATGGTGGTACCGAACTCGAAACGATCGATACTTTATTAACATTTTAAAGCAATTGATCCGAACGTATGTCTAGACGCATAATTTCCCTTTCATAATCCGACAATTATTTATATCAATTCAAATGAAAATATTTATTGGTTGTTCGAAAAGGAAAAAAAAAGGGGGAAAAAAAAAAAAGGAAAAAAGAATTGATTCCTTTATCCCAACGACATTATAATCGATAATTTTATTAAAATATACAAGTGAAATGTGCTTTTTAATATTGATTTAAGTATACCATTAGATTTTTCATTTTTCTGCATCATCATAACGCAATACGTTAGAAAAGTCAATCTAACGAAACTTACTCGTTTCTTCGAGTAAGTCTCTCATTTGCTTTTCTATAAATCGTTTTGATGTCAACAAGCAAGGAGGAAATGAAGTTTATGAACTTTTTGCAACGCTCTGAGAGAGCGTGAGCATTGAAACCAACTCATTCGACGAAATTATTATCAATGTACACACCTAGGCAGGGAATTCTGTGAAATCGAGCAATCGTTGAAGTTAAATTGGCTCGCTAATTAATATCGATCCAGCCACGCGTCCGATTGAAGATCGGTTTGCCTTCTTCTCCCTCTCTCTCTCTCTCTTTCTCTCTCTCTATTTCTCTCTCTCTCTCTCTCTCTCTCTTTCTCTCTCTCTCTTTCTCTCTCTCTATTTCTCTCTCTCTCTCTCTCTCTCTCTATCTCTTTTTCTTGCTAGTTAGATTGACTATGTTGGTGCTTTCATTTGAAATCTTTCTATACGTCTTACGTTAGTAGTTATTAATAATTTTTTAAAGCACAAATTCGCCTGAAATATTTACTCAATCCTTTCTGTAAATTAGATTTTTAACGAAGTATATAATGGATAAAATATTACTCAAAAGAGGATAAGAAATATGGAAGGAAAATTTAAAAAATTATAATACATAAAGCTATTCCAATGCTATTTGCGATTATTCCAGAAATTAATCATAGTATTTAATTTTCATTCGTATAATATTTAGTTAGTTTTTCTTTATTGATTTTTAAAATAAAAAAAAAAAAAAAAAAAAAAATAATTAATGTGAAATAATAAATAATTTCGTGATAATTTCAAGTTTCGTTGAAATGATTTATCCTAAAAATTCTTATATATTTAAAGATATTTCAAATGTATCATAAAACAGATATATCTTTTATATACGTATATGTGAGACAATATATTAATGACAAATGATGACGAAGCAAGGATCTTTGCTGGTGAAAGGTTGAAAGCGAGAACGTGAACGTAACCCACGAAGCGGAAGGACGAGAACGACGCGACGGAAGGGCTATCGCTCGGAGGCTCCTATTCGGTGTGCATCGGCCGACCGCAAAGTGTAAAACGTCAGCTGCAAGCGTTGTTTTGCGCGCGACCAGATTGCCGACACGGCCGCAACCAAGCTGCATCTCGCATCCTTCCTGCTTCTCTCTCTCTCTCTTTCTCTCTCTCTCTCTCTCTCTCTTTTCTCAAGCTCTAGTGCGTTTCCATGCAACGCCACTTGCACAATTTGTAAAGTGTCTTTCGCAAAGAACACCCGTTATATTTGAAGAACAAGACATGAAAGGAGTTAACGACATTCTCAAAGTTTTTCCATTTTGTCTATCCATCAACTCAAACTCCAACAAACTCATTTCACTGACCTTTGATATAAGGGGGATCGATGTAAACGACGTCTGCGTCTTTTTTTTTTCTTTTTTTTTTTGATCTAACAAACGAATAAGAATGGACACGCCCTTTTTACGAAATAATAGTAAGTAAGTATCATACTATATGGTAGAGTGATGGCTCACGCGTGACACGATTGAAGATGATGATGATGATGAAAAGGGGAATAGGATGCTCGATTTTTGTTTCGTTAGTGCCGGAAGCGGATGCTATTTCGTCTCGTATTTCTTCGTCCATTGTTATTTCAACACGAAATACATACTTACTAGGGCCCGTGAATTCAGCTCTAGTATACGAAAGTCATCGTAAAGAAAATTTCAGGAGGGGGTGTGTCTATCGATAAATATACTATCTCTCGTCTTTCTTTGCTTTCATTCGATAAACAACAGTTAATAGTTCTCGT